CTGTGGGGCTGCCCCACAAGTGGGGTTTGGGTCAAAAAACCCCAATTTTGGGTCAAAAAATCCCAATTTTGGGTAAAAATTCCCAATTTTTTGGGTTAAAAATTCCAATTTTTGGGACTGAAATGCCCAAATTTGGGGTAAAAATTCGGATTTTCGGGGGTCCCAGATCTATGGGGCAGCCCCACAAGTGGGGTTTGGGTCAAAAAACCCCGATTTTGGGTCAAAAAATCCCAAATTTGGGTAAAAATTCCAATTTTTGGATAAAATTTCCCAAGATTTGGGGTAAAAATCGCAATTTTTGGGTGGAAAATGCCCAAATTTGGGGTAAAAATTCGGATTTTTGGGGGTCCCAGATCTGTGGGGCTGCCCCACAAGTAGGGTTTGGGTTAAAAAACCCCAATTTTGGGTCAAAAAAACCCAATTTTGGGTCAAAAAAACCCAGTTTTGGGTCAAAAACCCCGATTTTGGGCAAAAATTCCAATTTTTTGGGGTGAAAATCCCGATTTTTGGGGGGAAAATTCGGATTTTTGGGGGTCCCAGATCTGTGGGGCAGCCCCACAAGTGGGGTTTGGGTCAAAAAACCCCGGTTTTGGGCAAAAAATCCCAATTTTGGGTCAAAAAACCCCAAATTTGGGTCAAAAATTCCAATTTTTGATCAAAAACCCCCAATTTTGGGTTAAAAACCCCAAATTTTGGGTCAAAACCCCAAATTTTGATCAAAACCCCCAATTTCTGGGTTAAAAATCCCAATTTTTGGGTCAAAACCCCAAATTTTGATCAAAACCCCCAATTTCTGGGTTAAAAATCCCAATTTTTGGGTCAAAACTCCCCAATTTTGATCAAAAAACCCCAACTTTTGGGTCAAAACCCCCAAATTTTGGGTTAAAAACTCCAATTTTTGATCAAAAACCCCAATTTTTGGGTTAAAAATCCCATATTTTGGGTTGAAAATCCCAATTTTTTGACCAAAAACCCCAAATTTTATGTTAAAAAACCCCAATTTTTGGGTCAAAATCCCCAATTTTTGGTTCAAAAACCCCAATTTCTGGGTCAAAAATCCCAATTTTTGGTTCAAAAACCCCAATTTTTGGGTCAAAACTCCCCAATTTTGATCAAAAACCCCAACTTTTGGGTTAAAAACCCCAAATTTTGGGTTAAAAACCCCAATTTCTGGTTCAAAACCCCAATTTTTGGGTCAAAAACCCCAAATTTTGATCAAAAACCCCAATTTATGGGTTAAAAACCCCAATTTTTGGGTCAAAACCCCCAATTTTTGGGTTAAAAATCCCAATTTTTGGGTCAAAAACCCCAAACTTTGATAAAAAACCCCAATTTTTGGGTTAAAAATCCCATATTTTGGGTTAAAAATCCCAATTTTTTGACCAAAAACCCCGAATTTTATGTTAAAAACCCCCAATTTTTGGTTCAAAAACCCCAATTTTTGATCAAAAAACCCCAATTTTTGGGTCAAAAATCCCAATTTCTGGGTTAAAAACCCCAATTTTTGGGTCAAAACCCCCAATTTTTGGTTCAAAAACCCCAATTTTTGGGTTAAAAATCCCAATTTTCGGGTTAAAAACCCCAATTTTTGGGTTAAAAACCCCCAATTTTTGATCAAAACCCCAATTTTTGGGTCAAAAACCCCAATTTTTGATCAAAAAACCCCAATTTCTGGGTTAAAACCCCCAATTTTTAATCAAAACCCCCCATTTTTGCCTCCTTCCCCCCATTTTTGGGCACAAACCCCGGGATTTTGGGGCTTTTCCCCTCCCCCTCCCCTCCC